CTTCTGGTGGTGCCACGTGGCCGGGCAGGGGGGTCAGTGTCCTGAGTGCGTGTGACCGTTCTCAGCCTGAGGCTGCTGCTGGCTTTGGAGGCACCCCGCCCCGCCAGACACCCCTTGTCACCCGGCTGGACCTTGCAGCCTGTGTCCCAGCGCTTGGGAGGTTTGCAGTACACCTTGGCATGCGTAAGCAGAGCAGCCCACCAGCGTGACGAGTCTCACAAGAGAACCAACCATTGTATGGCTGTCCGCTTATTGAAAGGCCAGTTTATCACATACTGAGAATAAAGCGAGTCCCGTGTATATAACCAAGGTAAGGATCAATGGTTGATTACAATTCTCAGCATTAAAAAATGAGGCGGTGATGAAAGTCAACAGCTTCTATCTGCCTAGCTCTGTGAGCCCCGTTTGCGGCTGTTGGGGTGGGCTCCTCCCCAGTGAGAGGGCTCCGATGCAAGAGCCAAGGACATTTAAATATGCGAATATTAGCTACGGATTCTCTACAGCACACGTTCACCATCTTCCTTTTCCCCATCTTTTTGTACAACACAGACACAATAGTGCAGCCGTGTCTTTTTGCCTTTGATGCCTGCTTCAAAGTTCAAACTCCCATTGCACTCCTCTCCTGGACAATTTGCTTTAACATGCCGTATACTGAAGAAACTTTCCCCTGACTTTGCAACATTATATACATCAGATGTTATGTAAATATCAACTTATACGCGTGTATGTTGTATGTGTGTGTTTAATTTCAATTCTGTGATAATTCTGTTGATATTATGACTTCCAAGAATAACACTTGGCATGTCCAAATTAAAGGAGGTAAGTGCAAACATGGCAATGGGAATAAATACACATGGCAATCTTCTTGAGGTGCTGCGGTACACTTAAGACTATCACAACATTGTATGTAATCTGCAGGATATATTTTAAGAACTAGTTATTGTACACATTCTGTTTGCTGCACAGGTTATAATTAATCTCTGGCATTTCGTAGAAACCACGTATGGTATATTGACATAATAAATGCTGACACTGGGAGACAGATTGCCTGTGCTGTGATCCAGCTTGACAACACCTGGTTGGTTTTAGGGATTCTCTTCTCAGTGTCTTAGCCTGAATTAAGTGAGGTGTGTTGATGTGCAGCATGTTTTACTGCAAGGGGTTTTGGAGACGAGCAAGTCTGATTATATATGTATTCATGCGTGGACCACAGCACTAAGCTTTGCACTAACATTGGCAATTTTTTAGAAAGAAATTTCATTTAATTAGTTCTTAAGACTTCTCCGTTTTCTGTATACTTGTTGGGCATCTAATCTTTGGTTTTAAATATTCAGTCCCAGCATATAAACTCGAGCAGAATGTCTCACACTGTCAGTGAGTATTCTCCGTGTATAAGCACAAAGCTTTTCAGATGGATGGAAGCAGCACAGTTTGGGGAAAGAGAATAGTTTCTGTGTGTCCACATGTGCAGTATCATTTTTGGCTATTTCTGTATAAGTATAAAAAAAAAGTTTTATGAACAAAAACTTTGATAGAGACTGAGAAGCCAGAGTCTTGGCTCTGGGCACCTTACAGTCTGATTGCTTGTGAGAGGTGGAGTGTGAACATAATCAAGGTGCAGAGAAACCTGGTGTGTATATTGATTGGGGAAGACATTGGGGAAACTGGCTGTGGATACTGGAAATATCTATCGAGCTATATTTTCTGTCAGGTTTTAGTCTGCACGGGAGAAAGTTTATTGCCCAGCTCTTGACACACGAAGCATTGTGTGCATTTGATTATAAGTAAAGCATCCCCTGCTACCAGCTGATCATTTTGCCCTGAAGACATGTATCTGTCTCCCCCAGGCAAATGATAAAAAAAATCTAAGGAAATAATGTGCAAAATCTTTGTCATAAACCAGGAGGGGTTTCTACAAGCACACAGAAAGCCTAGCTCACATTCATAAATATGATTGAGAAGTTAAGCCACCTATAAAAACATCCAGTAACACAACGATAAACATATTTTTCAAGTGGAAGTCTGTTTTCTCCCTAGCAATGTAAGCTTTCTGCTAATACTCTCTCTTCTGTATGCCATAATTTCTCAGCTATCCTCTCCTAACATGACCAGGTATCATCCCAGACAATTAGACCTACTATTATTTGGAGAAAATTTTTACACATGGTGGAGTTGGATCAGAACAAAGACTGCAAAATAAGATCTGCAGTTACAGTGGCTGTACCAGGAATGCGTGTTTGTGGGCAAGGGTCACCATTATGTGCAGTAAAACTGCCCGAGTTTTCACATTTTCCTTCACTGTAGGTATATGCTTTGGCTGTCTGTGACCATAACTGGAGCTTAAGCTCGGCAGTATTAAAAAGAGTTCTGCTCAGGTTCTTATCCAGCATATCTTAATAAAATAAATAAGTTGGCTAAAGTTGTGTTTCAAATTTCTTACAATTTGTGCTATTCACTGAAACTTTCTCTTAACTTTTCAGCTGTTTTTACCCACACGTGAACACAAAGGATTTACTTTTTCATAAGTTATTGAGTCAAAGTTACTCTATCAATATTTTCAGACTTTTGGGAGCTGGTGCTGAGGATAACCAGTGGCGCTAGAGCTTACGGTTGCTGGGAAGACCAAGCACAACAGTTCCATGTCTGATATAGTGCAGTGGCTTTTCTGCAATTTTAGACAAAACAAAATTAAGAGCAATTCAGTTATGCAGTTGTAAGTAACTGCTTGCTTCCTGATGTGTGTTTTTTAGAAGGTGGATGAAATGTGAGTGTCTGTCTGCTACATAATCAATAGAATTAAAATCCCCAACCACTTATTTCCTTTGAAGTGATTAAAATCCACTTTGTACATAGTTTATGCTGGCCATACCGCTCCTTTGCAGCCGTATGTCAAGGTAATTATTAGACAGTTTATGAAGTGCTTAAATATAAATGGTCAGCATAAATCTTCGTACAGTGCATTTTAATAGTATTATTCCATTCAGAGAACAAGCAGAGTCGAGATTTGGCCGACCTTCTAGTAGTCTCCTCCAAACTTAGGTAGCGGTATAGCTCTTTCAGCTTTTGAGGGGCAGCTTTTCTTAGTATTAAGAGACACTGAAAGGATGCAGCAGTAGATGGTTCTTCTCTGATTGGTGATGTATAAGTGGCACAAAAGATTTGATGGTGTAACTTGTGAACAGCCATTCTGCTTGTAAGGGGGTCCCTGCAGAGGAACAAAAGCTCTGCTCTGCTGGGCCATCTCTAATAAACCTTCACATACATACACAAGATGTGCAATTGTTGGAATCTTATTTCTATCAATAGATTAAGTCCAAGGTCTAGTATTAAAGTTGAAATTCAGTCCTTGCCATTCCTTCCTCGCTATTTGATTTATTTTTGTATGAAATTTAATAGTCAATTTGAAGCCAACAACAACTTCTAAGCCAACTTGTCTCTGGAAGAAGCATAGGTACAGTTTCAAGACATAGGATTGTTGATACCATGATGGGTCATCATCTCTAAATCCTACCCCAAAGTGGGGTAGGATTTATTGAACAGTTGATATCTTTTAGTAAATCAACAGATAGAGTTGGAAAAAAATACAAGCACACAAGCTTGAAAAATCTTTTTTTGGAGTGTCAAAGCTTGCTGGGTTTTGCTGTAATGTTACCTCTTACTACTTCCCCTGGACATGTTATCTAGCTGAAATCACTTATGTTGGTTTAGCTGACAGTAGATGTCACCTTACCTATTTATTTTTCCTATATTACATATTATTTTCTTTGATGATTTAACCAATATTTGAAGGGATTTACAAGTGATTTATAATTAAGACACTGGACTGAAAGCCAGCTTGGGTTCTGGGGGAAACAAGAATATGTCCCCATTTTTTTCCATTTTTAAAATAGAAGGTAATGCAAAACAAGGTATGTTATAATATCTTCTTAGACATTCAGGTGTATTTTTCACAGCAGCATATTCTTGTTTGCTATTTCTTATTGTCATGTTCTTTATCCCTGAAATAAAAACAAGGAAGCACTGGTACAATTACACACCTTTTTCCTTGGCTAAGCTTATTCTTTGTTGGAAGCCAGGCCAGAGTACTGTCTGTTCAGACTTGAACATAATTTAGAACCATCCTAAGCCAGTGCCGATGGTTCCCAGTCAACTTACAAAGACAACATATTGTAGAGTTTTTAAAAGATTTTGGAAAGCATACAAAATAATAAATTGAAGAACCTATTGATTGCAGAAAAAAAAATTACTGTTACTTAATAGACTCACCCCTTTTTTGCTAGTTTGTGTCGACATAACATTAACATCTCATTTATTTATTGTTCTGTCCTCTGATATTCATGTAGACATGTGTCCTCTTTAAACAGAAAAAAACAATGTTGTATGTGTCACATGAACTGTGTAGTGTTTAAGAATATTAGCGGCATGTCAGACAAAGCCCAGTGTTCTTCAGAATCCTTTCAGAAAATAGCCTTGAATATCTGCAGTGATCTATGGTTTGTGATTTGTTCTGTTGCTGGGAAAACAGATACTTGAAGCTGATACACAAAACAGCACTTATTTTAAAATCAATGTGTAAAACATCAATTCCTAAAAATCCATCTAAAGCTCTAACTTTGCAGAATATATTAGTTTGCCAATAAAGCTGGCTAACTCAGGAAAGAACGTCTGCATTCTCTGGGTTTCACCTATACCGTCTGATAGGCAAAGATCTTGTTTAGCAGTTAGCTAAACCTAAGAAGCTACTGGCTGTTTTTGTCCTAGAGAGAAGCCTCTTGGGGTTCAGATAAACCATGAATGCTTTTGCTGCCTTTTGCGCTGGATGAGAGGGTACCTTGGTTCTCCAGACTAGTATCCCAATTAATTATGCTCAGAACAAAGTAGGAGCATTTTTTTTAAAGGAAAGTAAACTTTTCTCTTTTAAGCAGCTTGTTTATAAAGATTTATTAAGTTTTTGAAGAAGTACCTCTTGGTCTAAAATAGTTATTTTATTTGCTTTCTAGTTCAATTTTGTCGGGAAATTGCTTGGACCAAGAGGAAACTCCTTGAAGAGGTTACAAGAAGAAACAGGTGCAAAAATGTCCATCCTGGGGAAAGGATCCATGAGGGATAAAGCTAAGGTACTGTATCGGGATTCTGGTTGCAGTTAGTGTCAAAACGTTTGTGCTTTAGCTGTTATGCTTAGATTGCCTGTCTACTTATTAATGACTCGATTAATAGACTCATAATAGACTCTGACTCCAATGTAAGTTTGTTTTTTTCAGGTTACATCAAATACTTAAATACAATTTTTCTCTTGCTACACAAACCTTGCTTCTCATATAATTGTAGACCTCCACATTTACTATATACCACTGTTATTTAAATAATTCACCTAAAATTGAAATCAGCTCAAAGTTCATTTGTTCTGAGAGAAGTCCGATTCTCCTCAGAAAGTGTAACTTGTATAGATTACTGCTGTAATATTGGTGTGCATGAATAGGTTTTCTCTTTTGTTTAGTTTTTCTTTAGAGATGGAACTTTTAAGATTGCATGTTTATGAAGGGCATAGTTCTAAAAAAGACAACAAAATGGATGTGTGTCAAAATGCACTATAGTTTAAATGTGTGTCAAAATGCACTATAGATAAAAGAAAAAAAAATGTGTTTGGAATCGCTGCTTGGTCAATGCACCTAAAGTAATTATTTGTAAGGTAAGGCAGCTTCATATATATGATACCCAAAGAACAAGTACTGATTGCATAGTGGTGTCTTACTTTACAGTCTGCAGAACAGCGGTATTACGGTCAATACAGAAATGACTACTAATTTCACTAAACTGTATATTGCCTGTAGTCATGTGCGTTATTCTGCTTTCCTTTCTGTCACCTCTGTCATTCATCTCAGTAGCTGAAATAATGAAAGCAATAATATGCCAGAATCTAGGAAAGACTAATCAGGATTTTTTGGTTGGCAATGTTTGGTCTTGGTCATGTGTATCAGCACTCACACTTGCATTATGAGGTCTCCAATTGCAATATTGAAAAAAAAAACCACAAAACAGACAAATTAGGCACAGGGAATGTAGTTCATTTTTTCAGAAATTCCTTTATGACATTGGGCATACTAACACTTCAATTTTCTATTTAACATTATATTTTATGATAATAAATGTGGAATACACTACAGATTTTATTTCTAGATATTGACAAGTAAAATATTTTATGACTTTTGGCTTACTTCTGGAATGATAAAAAATGAGTCCCTGGATGAAAGAGTGCATGTGCTGCGAAGTAGCAGTAATTTGCATCAGTACTGCATCTGCCAGCTCCATTCTCAGCCACCCACTCGGATTATTACTGCCAAGAGCAGCAATTGCCCAGATAGGGGAGTGTGAAGGGCTTCTAACCAGCTAGAGACATTTAAACACACATAAATAGATTGACTAAGTCCTCTGATTTTGAGATTGTTCACTCTTCTTATCATATAATTTGACTTTCATCTGATCATAATGAACAGTGCCAGTGAGCCAGTTATTACAGTCAGTCATGGGTGTGTCAGCAAAAAACAAAATTCAGGGGATTTTTTTTCCTCTTCATAGAGTATTTAGTTGTTAAGCGTAATCTGAAGTTAAGTATGAACTTCATGGAAACTCATTTATATGAGAATTGTGTAAAAAATGAACTTCTAGAGTAAAATAGTATTAAATATAGTAGTGATTAAAGCAATTTCTGTAGACAAGGCCTCATAAGTGACTGTTATCTTAATCCAATTTAGTCATTACCAATTCAAAAGAAAACAAAATCCCTGTGCAATTACAGTGAGAGATAGAAATTATTTGATCCATGTACATCACTGTTACCAGTTCCAAGCAAAAGAGGCTGAGAATGATCATCAGATGGGTAATAGTTACAACTGACATTCCAGAGAGGATAGTCTAGGTTGAGATACTGGTATAACCTAAAGAAAATATATTTGACTGTGAGCATAAATAATAATGTGAATTGCTGCATCGGTAAGATAAATACAACTTTCTCTGGTTAAAACAGTTTTCTTGCCATAGAACAAGCCTGCTAGTCTCATTTATGCAGTTGGGTTTTTTTACTGATTTAAATACAAACTACTGTAGTCTGGAGGCTTTTTTTGATTTTTTTGTACCATACAAGAAATCAGCTTATGTATATTGGCACAGAAGTCTTCCTTCTGGAGGAATTTTTGAGAAAAATCTATGTCATTTCTATCTGTAAACTAGAATTTCCTTAAAGCTGTCTGTATTATGCCATGAACCATAATAGTCCCTAGGCAGACTGCAAGCATGTGTGCTTTTCTCCTCCAGCCCAGTGCAGCTGGATGCTGAGCTGCATTGGAGCAGCAGCAACAGAATTTCTGCTGGAAAATACCAAATGAATTTATGCCCTAAATCCTTGTGTACTTAGTGTTTGAAAACCAATCCACTGATTTAGGTTTTTTTAGTGCCAAAATGACAGCAGGCAAATGCTTGGCTCTACAGTGAACCACTCTGGCCATAGTCTGTAATTTTGGGCATATGGAGGGGCAGTCTTCAGTTCTGGGAAGAGGAACCTGTCAAGGGAGGTGTATCTGCTTTTCGTAATTTCCTTATGTCGTGGTTTAACCCCAGCGGGCAACTAGGACCACGCAGCCACTCACTCACCCCCATTTTCCATCAGAAGGACAGGGAGAAGGGGGAGAAAAGGAGGGGAAAGGGAAAAGGGGGTTGAGATAAAGTCAGTTTAATAGAACAATAACGGAAAAGTAAAGTAACAATAATAACAATAATAATAATGACACAAGTCACTCTCACCACCCGGTGAATTGGCACCTTCCTGAGCAATGATCATGGATCCCCCCACCCGGCCAACCCTCATCTACATACTGAGCATGACATATGTGGTATGGAATATTCTACTGGCCATTACATTATTCTGTCTGTGCTCCTTCTCAGCTTCTATGGAAAGCTGAAAAGAGTCCTTGAAAAGTATAAACATCACTTAGCAACAACTAAACCAATATGCATTATTGACATTCCTTTCACAGTAATTACTAGAAATAAAATTAACTCTTTCTGGGATGAAGCCAGGACACCTTATCATTAAAAAAAGAAATCTGTGGGTAAATTTCAGAGACTGAAGAGTTTAGGCTGTTCCCTTCCAGAGCCTCAAGGGGGACACTTGGTAAGAATGACTTGAGATTTTTGAGTATCTACTGTGCCTGCAGTGTGGTAACAGGATAGATTAATTTGAAAAGGCAATGCAACTTACTTAAAATGAATATTATGAGCAACTCCAATTGTGCACTAAATACTACAGAGCTTCTATATGTGTCACAGAAAGTTGTGTTAGCAACTGTTGAAGAGATACCAAGGTATAACTGCAACACTTCTGCAGAATGTTATTTGGGATGTAAGAAAAAAATCATTCTTCCAAAGCAGCATGGCTAATGTGAGTACTTAATCTCCGTGCTTAAGCTAATGCCACTGGCTGAGGAGAAGTTTAATTTTCTGTAACAGGAGAAAGATCCTACAGTGTGCTGGCAGAAAAAACAAGCACCATCATGAAACACGGACAGCCCACTAGACACTACAGAAGATGATGCTGGCTTTTAGATACTTTTTCCTTTTGATTTGGCATGCAAAACTGTAGCTAAAATTTGAAATATTTATTAGCTGAATAACTTCCATTTGTTTTTACATCACAGATAATTTATTGAGCATAGCCATGACCACTGAGAATTTTGACCACCATAAGAGCACAGCTAGTTTCCAGTGAGTTCTTAGAACAAGTTGAGCTCTCACTATCTTGCTGGCTTACATGCTGCCACTAAAGGTTGTCCTTCTTGTAGTAATATGGTATTCTAAAAATGCAAATACATTCTTCAGAACAGGTAGCGATGAGATTAAACATAGTCATATTGAGTTGCTTGGCTTTTGATTCTTTTCCATTTCTTTTTTGTTTCATTTTCTTCTTTTTCCAAACAGCATGGGAGGTGATTGTAAAGGTAAACAATCAAACTGAAGTGACAGGAGAAATCTCATTACAAGTGGAATGAATTGATCGCTTTCATACATATATGCAGATTTTCTTTTCAACCATGCAATGAATGCTCTTCTCTGTGCCATTTAAAAAAAAAAAAAGTACGTAGTGAGCTGGAATAGAGTTTTTTACATAAACTATAGCAGTAAGAGCATGGATTATCTTTAAAAGAAGCAGAAAAATATGTAGCAATGTTTCTTAAACACTTTTATTTCTTGGGCTAGTTACCTGCCAGAGTTTTGTAGGAGTACAGCCTTGAAGCTTGCACCGTTTCTCCATACTCCCTGGTTTTAGATTATTTATGTGAGTGGCATTTTATCCAGATAAATTATACACCAATGTGCAAAAACCACACACTAGGTAGTACATGTAACTTGGTCTTTGTGTTTTGTGGAACTTCAGAACATCGTATGTGAGAAAGCAAAATGGCAATGATTTCATGTGGATGGAGGTGAAAGGAAGATTTTTGTAGGAAAAACAGTAACGTTTAGGGCCAGAGATAAAATAACCACACTGGTGTCATTAGAACTGCCTTTAAGGACTGCATGACCTGACTGCAGATTGCCAGAGCTTTGGGAGAATATGTGGGAAGAGTCAAAAACATACTCCTCCCCTTCCATATTTCCCTAAGAACCCTCTACTGACTGGAGAGAAAATAGTGACCTAAGGGACACTTGTCTGAGGTGGGACCTCACCCTTAATAACAGAAGTGAGAGCAGATCAACAGCATTAATCATAGTCTAGCCATGGTACTTCTCTGCAACATGACTTAATCTCTTTTTATTATTTTTTTTTTCAGAGATAAACTATACCAGAGTAGATGAGACTGTATATGGTGAGGCTCGCCTGGAATGACTATATGTAGCATGATACCAGTAATTAATTGGTATAGATAATGCTGGTAAAAGAGAGCAGATGAACACCATGATCCCAGATTAATAACTGGAATGGTGAACAAGGCATAGAAAAGGCATCAACATATTGAGAAAGGGAAGAGGACAGGCTTGAAACAAAGATATGGCAGGTATAAATTTTTTGCAAAAGAAAAACTCTACCTTGTACAGAATTTTATCTTTTGTCTTTCCCATTTCC